TCGGTGCCACTCGAAAAATTTCTATCCTTTCATTCCTAGCAAGTGGCCAATGAACTGGTACCGATTTAGTTTTGGCACGTTTCCAATCCCCGATCTGACTGGAGCAAATTTGATCATAAAACGCTTCTCGTTTTATCGATCACTTACCGTAATACTTTCAGCCGGTGCAACCGTAGTACGACATCCGGCCGACGAACCTCGTGCAAGTATACAACATCATGAACCACCATCGGCTCCCATTATTCCTGGAGACATGCTGGCTGCAAAAATTCGTACTTATCTTTCGGTAAGTCTATTATTGATTGATCACGGTTCCGAGTATTTGTGCACTTCTACTAGTTCTGGTCGGCTATGAATTTCTTGTACCTTCCTGTATTTTTCCTGGACCGGAATTTCGCCATTTCCGTCATCGGGCAGTCTTCGGCATTTTTGGCTTACTGTAGCCAGCTCTACGCAATAGCGCACAGCTGTCTGTCGTCTAAATACCCCTTCCTTGCCACTTTTGTCGTCACATTCTCGTACAACCCCGCTTCAGCTGTTTTTTTTTGAAGCCTTTCTCTTCCGATCCGCCGATTTTCGCGTTTTTTTCGCTATCTTTGTAATATTTTGCACAGTAACTTCCATTATTTTGCTTGGACTACATCTCTCAAGATTAGTTTGTACTTCGCCTTCAATTTACATGACCAGTCATTCAATCAATAGGGTGTTACTTTACGGAATGCTAATGAAGTGCATGGCTTACCCCGAAGATATCCCTTTCGAGCCATTCAAGTTAAACCTGTTGATTATTCCAACATTTTCACAATGGCAACGTCCTCTCGAACAAATCTATTTGGAACAACTTGCCCTTGTTTTTCATTATCATGCTTCACTTCATGTCTATGCCCGCTTGTTCTTATAAGGTCCGGATGTGCCCCGAGCCTTACGCATGGTTTGGCTTGGTTTGACTAGGTTCACTGCTAAGGGAAGGTGAAATGATGAGAATTGGCCGTTCAGCATTACTAGTTACTAATTAGTTGTTGCTCAAATCGATCAGTTGCCTTTTCCATGGACCTTATGCTTTTACCTCGGAGTTTTTCACTTACCTCGACGGGGATCGGCAAAGAAATAGGCTCAAGGGTCCTAGGCTGTCCATGAAGTTGCTACCTTCACTTCTGGCATCTTGAGTATATCGAGCTGTCGTGGTCCTCACGAAACCACAGCCAACCTCATGCTCCAGATGGAAAAATTTCTTTGTCTTAAATTGTTGCTCAAAAGTAATTACTACTCACCTCACCGACTTCAGCATCCAGTGACATGGCAGCCTTCTGCAGATCAACGACGTCTTATCGGCCATATGGTATTGCACAAGACGGATAATTCGGCTTCTGGAGATCTCGGTCTCAAGGTAATACTCTTTAAATAAGATGGTCCCCTCCAAGGCACGGCACTTGAACATTCTCGGACGTTGCTTCCGGTCATTTCGCCTCTTATAATGTCGATTTCCACAATTTTCCGTTATGCTACTGTCATATATGCTAGTGTATTTTAAGGTGGTCGGTGGTCGACGCAGTGACAATGGCCGCTTGGGAGCCTTCATTACTCGAGTAAAACCGGGAAGTGTAGCCGATACCATAGGCCGATTGAGAGCAGGTTGGTATTTATACTTTTCATAGCAGTTAGCTTCAGCCATAGTCCACGTTAGTGCGCGCCGCACGCACGATCAACGCCAGTGCGAGGAAAGCTCGTGATTGGTGCTTTGCATGTAGTAGCCAATAGTAGTTGAGCGCGAAGTAGCCTACTTTGACCAGTAGAAATTGCTAGTTGCTTGGAAACATTCGAGTGAGAGTAAATCGGTTTTTTTTTTGATTCGCTCAGAGGGCAGCACGTCAACTGGTTACTTTTTAGGCGATGAGGTTCTGGAATGGAATGGCCAAGCCCTTCAAAATGCGACATTTGATCAAGTGTATGAGATAATATCAGCAAGTAAACACGAGTCGCAAGTGGAAATTATTGTGAGCAGGTCATCCAGGTACGTGCTTTTTCACGGCTCCCTGAGTTACCTCTGATTAGATCAGACCCATATAATGTCAATTTCAGTGTGCCTGGTGGTGATGATTTCTTGAACATGCAAACACCGGCTCGGCAATTACCAAATCTGCAATACTTCCTATCACAAGGTTTGTATCACTGAGTTAATAAAAAAAAANNNNAAAAAAAAAGGAGGCGTAGTCTCATTGGCTGTTTGCCAAGCTGCGCACGAACTGCGAGACAGTCGTCCAATGAGAGAAGTGTTTGGGCTGTCAATGTCCGCCACTGATTCGCACGTACCTGTGTATCCTCTGCCATCAAACCGTCTCTGTTTATTTTTGATTTCCGAAACTATTATCGATCTATTTGCAGATCATGAAATGTTTGCCTCACCGTCAGCCTCCCCACTACTTCCATTGCAAACACTTTCGCATTCCCAATCAGCTATTCTTCCTCATCACCAACAGATTAGCCCAAGGCATCGGACAACCATGACGGGAGGATACTTCCAAGGTAGTGATCTCCGTTACGTTCACTAGCTTCTGATTCTAACTTCACTTTGGTTTCAGATCATATGGCCCGTCCAGAGCCGCGAGTGTCACTTTTACAAGAGCAGAACTACGGTCGAGGACAAATTTTTGGAAGGATTGAGGTAATTTTTATGGTTTCACGGGAAACTTCCTTATAGTTGCACTCACCACTTGTAACGTAACGTCCTTGGCAGATCAGTAGGCACCGTATAAGGTACAACCCAACACATCTTTACCAAGTCAATTTTCCGGATAGAAGATGGAATACCAGTTTAGATTGAGCCTTGAGATCTCTCTAAAGGGAAGGTCAAAACATCGGTTTTACTTGGCAGAAGAATCGAGGGGCAATGTCTTTTGGCGTTAACCAATCCATTTTGCGAACGCACCCCCGAGTCGACCCCTATCTGCAATAATGGTGGCAAATAAAATGCGCATGAGACCTATGCTCTCATGGGTAACTGTACTTGTAACTGTACTTCCTTCCAAACTGCCTTCGTAAAGTTCGAACGGGGCTCACTTGCCCTGTTCGGTCGAAATTATTCGGAATTTTTGTAAGATTGGTTTTCAAAATTGTCGTTTTCAGATTTCCTTGTATTTCTCACATGTGGAACGACAACTAACCGTTCGTATAGAACGGGTGGCTGATCTTCCTCCACGTGCTGATGGTTCACCAAGGAATCCCTACGTGAAGATTTTCCTGCTTCCGGATCGGAGGTGATTTTTTAATTGGCTCAGAATCAGCAGACTGTACTTTAGCTGAATTAGTTAAGTTGGTGACACGACACAATCTCACAGTCTTTCCATTTCTATTCCCTGGTCTCCGGCCTCTACATTTCCTTAACTGCATAGGAAACCAGTTAAAACTCTTTTTTTTTCAGCGAGAAATCACGCCGTCAAACGACCGTCCTGGCCGAAGCGATTACTCCCATCTGGAATGAATCGTTTTACTATCAAGGGATCACGGAACCGATGCTTATGGAACGAGTCCTGGAGGTTCGCTGGATGAAAACTTAGGGATTCAGTGCAAATATTGATTGGTGATGTTCAGGTTACGGTATGGGACTATGACAAGTTTGAGGCAAACTCATTTCTCGGTGAAACATTAGTGGATTTCTCTACGACATCCCTAGATGGCCAGACAATGACGTTACCGCTTGTCGACATGGACGATGAGAATCCTCTACGTCTTGTGAGTTACTTCTTTCTGGTTCAAAAGTAAATTCTGGTAATCTGTGCGAATAATATGGACAGGCAAATTTACTCGACCTTACTGGCGTATGCATTTCGAGCCTGGATCGATTTTTGGCCTTCTGTTGTAGGACTACATGGGATCCCAGTTTTTGACTGTTAACTAGTAGGCAGCTATCTTAGAACTCCTTGTTTCGTATTTCTGTATTTACAAGTAGTGTAAACTTGTTATATAGAGGCCAATATTAGGTCATTACCCGCAGATAGTCTCTGAGCACTTTGCGATACGAAGGATGGGGTCTCATCAGAGTAAGGGATATATACGGTGGTGTAAAAGCCTTGGTGCTGGTTCAAATCCCATATTGAGCCGAACTGTCTGCGACCATATCAATATCGCCTTGAAATGCTTCCTATTATTAACTGATGAGTAATCATCAACAAAAAACGGTAGTAAAATAAATATTAATTTTACAATATTCAGTCATTTAATTAAAGTGCTCTGTTGGTGCCCCAAGACAAACCAGAATTTGTGTAAGTCAACATAAAGCGGGGAAAGAAACAACAACAAAAGAATACGTAAATAAATGGTCTGAACTGGGAAATTTTGGATATTGCTATTGTCCAAATAAAAATATTCCTACTCTCTTTTCTTACTACAATTTTACACTGCAAGCGATTTTCCCACGGCTACTGCACTTACCGGATTGAATCCGTCCAAGAAAATCTGAATACAACTTTATTTTTTATTTAGTATTTTTTTTCAATTTCAGAGGTTCCGTAATCGAAAAGTGAAGCACTACCATTCATCCTACCAGCGGCCACGAAGTGAAATGAGTTTCGTCTACAACGGCAAGTCGTCACCCTACACAACTTTAGGTAAGCATTCGTAAATAAACAAAACATACTTCTCATAANGTTATTGCACTTACCAGATTAAATCCGTCCAAGAATATCTGAATACATGTTTATTTTTTATTCCCTATTTTTTTCAATTCCAGAGGTTCCGTAATCGGAAGGTTAAACACTACCATTCATCCTACCAGCGACCACGAAGTGAGATGAGTTTCGTCTACAACGGCAAGTCGTCACCCTACACAACTTTAGGTAAGCATTCGTAAATAAACAAAACATACTTCTCATAAGCTTCGTGTTACTTCCATTTACCACTAGTACTTGATGGAACTTTGAAAATTTAGAAGATTCGATTCAATTGTTCAGATCCCTATGCAGACAGTGCTTCTCGCGCTGCTTCTTCAGAAGCAGTTATGCGAAGATCGAGAACCTACGAGAAGCCCGAAATAGCTCCTCATGGTGGTGGCGCTTTCCCCAAGTAAGTATTTACTGGGCGGAGTTATATGTCAAAGGGAATCACCATGATTAAGGCAATGTGTTTTTCTTATTTATTGATTTTTCAGTAGGATGGACGAGGACTGGTCTGTACAACCGCATTCGGGGTACCTATCAGACCACGGCTATTACCAACAGTCTGGACAGAGGGTAAGGCACCGTCGACCAAGAAGTGCCACTGCTATGCGACCGAGTAAGTTATCTAAGTAGTTACTGGAGTTTAGTCTTTAAGTGGCTATGGAGTAAGGCTATTAACAAGTGAAACTCCCTACGACTTTGGGGCTGATATTTTTGATTGGGTGGGGCAGTGGGTGTCTCCACCCTCATGTTCCGTACTTTTCCTATTTCTTTTCCAAAGATTCTGGCTTCTGTATTCCAGAAGATTCCCTTAGCGATTACCCTTACTCAAACTCATATGGCACAACGAAACCCTTCTTGAAGGCACAGTTCACGATATTTTTGTGTTATCTAATTTTAAACCAGTAATGGAAATGATGGTCCAAGATATTGCAAAAAAAGCGAAAGGAGCACCAAAATTGGCGTATCCAGTGAAATTCAAGGCTTCGAAAAAAAGTAAAATTAGGGATTGGACGAGAACTTGACGAGAGGAGTTGCATGGAGATGGTATTTGGACGAGCTGTTCCAATGAAAGCGCCCCTGCATACAACTGGCTGTAATAAGCTACCTGTGTGAAAGGTGTGGGTCTCGGTGCGAATGGTGCAACGTGTACAGCTTTTACATGCATAAGAACTCGTCCGCCTTAGGTGTGTACGTCGGCTAAGAGCCCTTCTTGCTCACTATCGTGGCCGTTTTTCTACCGGACAGCGTTCCTTAGGCTATCCTGAAGGGTGAGTATTCGTCCCAAGCAGAAACCCCAAAAATCCTTTGAACGTGAATTGTGCCTTCAACCATTCAGTCGATTGTGATGAAAATTCAAGCGCGGCACTACAGGGCATTACTGACCCTGACCAAACAAGGCTAAACAGTAAGAGCTCTTACCACGGTCACAGACTCAGCACAACTGGCCTCCTGCTGTTCCAGATTCGTCCCACTTCACTTTCAGTTGGGGACAAGCTTCTTTCAACTCTAACATCCCCCGACCGCTTACTTTTGCGTTAGGCTAGCTGAAGCTCTAAATCCCTATAATAGACAGGTCTACAACACTAACAAAATTAGCCCTTTCAGTGACTGCATCGGAGATGGGAGCATCACGGGCGTATTATCGTAATCTGCCCGAGCAGACGTGGGATGATGGCGAATTGACTCCGGAAGGACGGTAGGATTTCTTCGAACCGTTTTTCGCTTATTCCTCACCTATACAATTAATTACCGTTTATCGAAATTCCTTTTACTCATGGTCCACATTTCAGATATGCTCCGCAGAATATGTCCCGATACCCTCCACATGAGCCACATTCAACCAATGGCCGATCATTAGTGGAGATGATGCAGGAGCAAGAGCAACCCCAGGAATACGGATCTGATGGAAGCGAGACGATGAGCACACATTCGGCACATTCGATCCCAACAGTCAGGTTCGTGCTCAAGCTTTTGGGGTCTTTAGTCAGCAGAGCAGTGGGGTTCAGGAAGTAACCTAGTGCCGTTACTACACCCTAAATCCGGACGTATATACGAATTGGGTCCCACACAGAATGTTTTTCATCCTTTTTATGATGTTCGAGAAACGTTGGACCTCCCTGATTGATTCTTATCACCTTATGAATTCTTTCTTTTACACCTGCACACAATCCGCAAGAGTTCCGCCCATTCGCTCGGTACCACGCCCTCCATAAAAATCCAACTCACGCTGGGGCTGTACATTTGAGTATAGGATCTTAGCGAGCCTTTACAAAATTTCCAACAGTCATTCATGGTAATCGCTTTCTTTTAGAACGATTAATCGTCGATGCATGCCACAAAATGAGGCAAACGATATGCAAGAAACGTCACTGGAAGAATATGCTCCAGAAGACGTGCCATCAGCTTCGGGAGTCTCAGCCAAGTCATCGATGACTGCGCAATCTATGAAAGAACGCAAGAAAAGCATCATGACACGCTTTATCCCTGGAAAATCTGGAACCACTGGTATTTAAATGCTACTGAAATCCATTTCTGTTGGGTTCCATTCGTACTGAGGCTATATGTCATTTTCAGAGGGAAAGCGTACTGGCTTCTTGCGTTCTGAAGAAGTAGGGATTCCGGGCAACATGTCTGCAGCTGATCGTCTACAACAGCAACAGCAGTTTGTGAAGCAAACGAGTAAAGAGTCAACGGATTCGACATCTGACAAGTAAGTGTTAAGAGTCGTCAAATGTGACTCACACTCTAATAAAAGACAAAGTAGTCTGAAAAAACGAGAAAGAAAAGAAAAAGTAAGATGAGCTGTAAAGGAAAGATGAAGATAGGGCAAAAATAAATGGAATTTACTGCATTTCACAACTGCCCTCCATTATATTCATGAAATCTTTTCCGTCGATTACCTACGCACGACGGGAAGCTTAAGAAACTTGTGGAACTGTAAAGTAGGGGAGGTGGCGTAGCGAGAGCTTACGTGATTGGTCAATTGCCATGAACACCAATCAGAGCTCTTTTTGACACATTGACTCCTACCAGCGAGCTGATTAAAACTAATCACACAACAGAATAGTCAGCGACCAACTTGACATCTCGAAGTAGTTGGTAGCCCACCGATATCACAGTAGTCAACCTCCGAGAAGCTGATTACATTACATTTCTAGCTGGCTGCCAGTGTTGCCAGACGGCCCACTTGGCACGTTTGTCGACAATCTCGGTCCGGGACAAGTCGTAGGACGACAAGTGTTGGCAAGTCCCCTGCTTGGCGAAATCCAAATCGGCATCATGGCCGGCCGCGCCGGTATCGATGTGGAGATTATCCGAGCAAAGAATCTCGCTGTGAAGCCGGGTGTGAAAATCAGTCCTGGTAAGTATTTTGCTAAATCTACTAAGGAGCATGTAATTGGATTTTATTTATGTATTTCAGCTCCTTATGTCAAAGTATACCTTATGGAAGGCAAGACGTGTGTTGCTAAGGCTAAAACGAATCCGGTCAGAAAGACCACGGCGCCGCTATTTCAGCAGCATCTTATCTTCAATGATAATCCAAAACGAAAAATGCTTCAGGTAGGAAACATTATATCCTACTCGTAGTTGAGTAAAGTATTATTTATGCAGTATTATTTATGCTTTTGACATCTTACCTCACTACTGTGGGTGCAGTTTGATCGACCGGGGCAGAGTGCGACTAGCTAGAGTTTGAGAGCCCGTCTTCTGCTATTCCAATCATTCTCATTTATCATCACTAGTTATTGTCATTTATCACCAATGAGTTACTATAGCCAGCTAATCAGCTGAAGAATGTACCTCTTAAAATTCTGAAGCTAATAGCCTTAACTGGTAAACCTCATCATCTCACAACAGTTACGACTGGGCCAGACAAATAGCCAGACAAGCTGGGAGACTTCTCTCATGAGGACTTTCTTTTAAATCAGTATCTATAAAACTGCCATACTTTGTGTGGAAATGAGGGCGCACTATATGATATGTATATGAAATTTTGTGGTACGAGTTGTCCGGCAGCGGAATTTGACCCTAGAGCACATTTAAATAGATGACATTATATATGCCTGCTGCCGCATACTACTACGATATACTATTTGGGCTGCAACAAAATATCTATTAGTTTTTTGCGTGTCCATGTAAAAAATCAATCGCTACTGCTCTTTTCAGATCACAGTTCTCGGTGACTACGGTAGAATGGAGCGAAAAACATTTATGGGTATTGCATTGATTCGATTGGATGATCTACGATTGGGTTCAGAGCCGATTATTGGCTGGTATAAACTCTATCACAGTTCATCATTGGCCGGTACCGGTCCCGTACGGAAAGACTCGGAAACTTCTTTAGTAGGAGCAAATGCATTACAATATCAGTAGGAGGTAGGCGTTTGCGAAAAAATTAAGCTCAAAACAATATTCGTTCCATGATTTTCGTTGTACCACATTCTAATTTGTTCTTTAAATCTTATCTATTCGTTATGTACAAAGTGCGATTGTGATCATTGGGTACCTAGCATTCCGAAATCGTCGTATCTCAAATTTTGGAAGTATTTTCATAATTATTTCGTTATTCCGATTAGGTATGTGCTAGCGTTGGCAATATGCTAGAATTCGTTATCGAAATCAGAAAGATCTCACTTGTCGAATACTATTGGAGATACTTATAGCCGGCTACTTTGATGATGTTACCCTTGATATTGAAACTTCCTGCATCTCGGTAGTTAAGTCTTTCCGTAGTACACGCCAGATGAGCTCGAACAACAAGTCGCTCTTCACATCCCAAAGGAGAAGCCGTGCACAATGCAGAAGCCGCTAAAGAGTTCTCGTTTTTTCACTCCCTCTCTAACTGTGCAGCCCCTAAGGGAGAGGGGTTTCGACTCTGCGATGGGCGTGACCTTCCCTCGCCACGCACCAATAGGAATTGTGGGCGGTCCGAGGGACGAACTGATGCATTTGTTACGACTAGTGCCTTTCAATTATGTTCGAGCTCATTTGGACTGTCTGTTCCCCCTATTTCCTCGATCTTTTCCTTTCCCAATGACCAGATTTTGAAGTCGCCATCGTCAACGAGATGACCGCCCTGATTCAATGGTTCCGCCCATATTCTGCGCTCTTATTGACCCTAGTCATCATTTCTAGTCCTCGTCATAGTTCTACCGTATACGGGAAAATCGTGTGAATCATCCAGGCTGATGATTCCGCTCCTATATTTGAATGTTGCCGTTCGTTACCCGAAGTGGAAAGCATTTTCGACCGCTCAGGGCGCTACGTCGCATGTTTATTGATTGTTAGTCATCCATTTTGTGATATACCATGTTATTAATATTGATGAGAAGCAATCTAAATGGTGTAACCAGGGATTTGTTTCTCTTTTTCCTCTTTTCCTTCTTTTGTCCCAGTTCGATATCGGTTTTAGGTCATTATTTTATGGTTTTATTACGTTTGTTGTCAAAGTATATGTAACTACAGCTCATACTTCCCGCTAGACGCCACCGCGCAATCACAGCGCGCCATACTTATCGATTGACGCTTTTTGGGGAGCTGTGCTGTAGCGTGATTTGTGGAGCATTTGTCATCGTATCAATGGATCTCAAGCACATTCCAATTTTGGTATTTCCCTCTTTAAAAAATTACCTTTCCTTCAAAGAACTGTTTAGCACTGTCCAAATTCATCCTTAACCCAAAAATCCGAACCATAGGGCCCAAAGAGGATAAGATGGCAACTGCTCCAAGAAGATCCATTCCTGAAACCTACTCCATGCATTTAGTGAAGCATGTGTGATTCCTGAGTCATATTAGACACTCTTCTATCCTGGTTAACCGCGTCGTGTTACGCACGCGTGCTTCGCAGTGTAGTAGGTCAAAGGCTTTATAGTCATTAATCGAACATTGTATAACGTATTCATGGGTACTGCTATGTTGATCTTGTTCAACTCTTCGGGCGAAGATAAAGGATAATTTATATTGGTCATTGCCAGCTTAGCAATTATAAAGTGCAGATAAAGTCGTCTTAAATACGTCGTGCAACGAACATCTGCTTTGTTTGTTTTCTTTTTCAAACATATCCTTCTATCGCATTGGAGTGGATGAATGAAAATAGATTTCACTTCATTCATTTTTTCATCGAGGTCGAAGCTGTAATTGCCTGTACTCGACGCGCGCGGTTGCGGAACGTCAGTATCTGTTCAGTATGTTTTGCATAGGCTGTTATCGTTTGTTATCCGTATAAGTGTACGATGATGCCTTCATCTGTTCGATGTCCTCGAATCGTCGCTAACTAGGATTGCAACAACTCGAGAACACTCAAAATGCCATGTACGAAAAACGCTCAAGCATTGTATTCAAACGCCGCATCGCGACCGCGCGCGTCAGTAGGTCACCAATTGTTTTGGTCCATAGTGAGGATTCTTTAGGTCATAAACGTCAACAAATTTTGGATGTACCTGATCGATAAGATCACAGAAACTCGCAGTTACTTTGAAAGGTTTACTTTGTCCAAAAATGTTCCATTACACATTTTAAGCTCTGCCTTGATAAATAGGGATAGCGTGTTACTTGTTGTTTAACTTTATAGTAATCTGGCTGTAGTTATGCCTTCACTTGAAAAGCCACATCGATCAAAGAGCCATAGTACTCTCGTCCACGACTACCGTACCGCTCAGATCGCGTTTCACCCTATTACCACCACGTGTGGGAGTTGCGTAGACGAGCATGTACCTGGAATAATCAATAATAGTCAATAATCAATCAGCGAGTTAATTGTGGTAAACAATTCCTTAGTATCCGAGTTTGAGCAACGCTTAGATTAGGGCTTTGTTCAATGAACCGGCGCCCATGCAAGGAGCGCCTGTGATTGGTTGTTCGCTTACGATGACCAATCACAGCCGTTCCTGGTATGGAAACCTGGTTGACACGACACTTCACCAACCTTCCTGCAAGTTCCACTTTGCATACCAGATCTCCACCAAAGTTCACACGCTGGGCGTAGTCGGCCAGACCAACAATAGCTTCAAACTGCACTTTGAACCTGAATCAGGTGTTCAGGTATGCGTCAATTTAAACCACTAAGCTAGCCATCAAGGTGATAGATGTCAAGAAGCAGAGATAGAATCAGCTTGAGGGCCTAGTGAAGATATCTAGAGGCAGTTCTGATGACCTTACACTACTGAGGGTATCCTCATGCTCCGTCATTGTCGAAGTCACAACATCGAACCTCACTCTAACTCGTAATCTACCGTAACTTTTGGCTTTTACCCCCCGAAAACTTGGTCCCTCGTTCTGATCCTATCTCAACCTCCCACCCTTGATGAGACTTAGTCTCAGACGACATGACCCACCTACGAGCAGCATTTGTTTGCAATGCGTTGGCAATCTTCTGAGTATTGCACAGATTGAAGCCCGGCTCCGCGACGAGATGCTTAAATGGAGAGTAAGGATACGAAATCGACCAATTTGAAGGACATTACTAGTAAATCGTTGACAGCTGCGTCTGAACGAGAAGCTCACCTCAAATGTTCGAACAATCTCATCGTTGAGAGTTCGATTACAACAAGCATAACCGGAAGGATTGTAGAAGCATTCTCTCAATGGGTAATTTTTCTCGGGATACACATAGGATCTGTGCGTCTAAACTCTGATATTACATTACTGTAATGTTACAAATTGAATTATTGAATGGTATATCTACAGTTTCCTGCAAGTCCAAAATAAGGCAAAACTTAGGCCTTACAGTTGCCCTAATCCCGCTGTAAGTATAAACACGATATATGCTGCCGACAGGACGTCTCAATCACTCTTTGACAAGGCTAAATTCGGAATATCCGAAAAACGTAAGAGATCTGTTATATCCATCAGACGCAAAGTAAAAGGTTCGAGGCTAGCCGGGGTCGCTTTTTGCCGCAACTCTTTCAAATCTCTCTCTCAAAAAGTTGAAGAAATAAACCGTGGTGAAGGGGCAGCGATCCCAGATTCGGTCAGTATAGGGTCGTGAATTCTAGTCCAGTAGAATGAACCTAACGCGGCTTTTTTTAAAGGGGCTGCGAGGTGTTCGAGTCAGCGCGTCTTCGCCTCCGTACCATAAACACACCCCCATAT